ATGAATGGTCTTTTATGTGTACAGAGTGGACACAGGGCATTGACAACTGGTTCATTGTAGTGATTTTATTTGTTCATAGGCTCTATAGACAGTTTTTTTTTTTCCTTTTTGTCTTTTTTCGTGTCCGGCAACGGATCACAACCCTCAGTGTCGCGCCTGTACCGGACCGGGACCGGCAACGGGATCGCAACCCTCGGTGTTGCTCCCACACCTCGCTCAGCCAGTGAGTGGGAACCGGTCTGTATGTGGGATCCGAACCCTCAGTGGGAGCGCCACCACGCTCCCAAGCGGCACACTGTAGCAGTGCGCCACCGGGCCGGCCTCTATAGACAGTTTGAGGGAACAGACCTTACAGATTATGTAGAACCATGTGCTCATCTTACAGATGATTCAACTGAAGCCTTGTGGGTAAACTGAGCCCGCAGAACCTGAGGGCCAAGAAGGATCCAGAAACCATCCACCAACTTTGAGCCCAGCATCTTTCTGCAGCCCCGCATGCTCTGAGTCTCTGACTACATGCAGTGAGTGTTCAGTCAGTATAAGGGCAGCACTTGAATTTTAAAAAGAGATGAAAGAAAACAGATGAGAAAGACCTGGAAGACCTGAGCTGCATAAACTTGCAGAGGAAGTAGCAAGTGCTGCATGACTTTTGCGCTAGTGTCACGCCTTCTTGGAGAAGGACAGAGAACAAGGACAGTTGTTGAGCTCATGCAACTGCATCCTCCCAGCACCAGCACCTTTTCTGAAAAGTGGCAGGGGACAGCTGGCTTCCCGGCTGCTGGGCCAGTGACTTCTCATGCCACCCACCAGGAGAGCTGCAGGAAGGATGTTGGCAGCTGTGTTCAGGGCCACACAGGGCTGGCCGGACTGGCAACTACTTGGAACCAACCTATCCCTAAACAGCCCACCATGACAATACCAGTGACCCACAGGAAAATGATGCACATCTTAAAGTTTCAAATCTGGGTCCAGCTGAGCAAAGAGCAACCTCCAGGTGGTCCTGGGGGAGGGCCTGCACGATGGAGAAATGCAATACGGCATTGGGAGACTCTCTGTGACATGATGCAACCAGCCAGCCAGTGTCACTGGACAGGAGCTGGGTCCCACAAAGCCAGAAGGTGCGCTGTGGCACATGGGCCCTGCTCCTTCACAGAGGAGTGCCTGATGCCTTCTTCCTTGCCCTCCTGCTCTGCAGCTTTCGGTGGATCCCCTTACAGTTTTGTGGGTAATAGATCTGCAACATAACCAGCGCCACTTTAGACAAGCCCAAGTACAAAATGGCGCCACCCATTTCCTCCCCTCCCCTCCCCCCTTCCCTTTACGAGAAGCCACCTGACTTAAACAGAAACCCCTTTTGCTTCCGCAAGGACACAGTTCTCCACCCGGATCTACATTAGCATAATGACCCTCCTTGATGGTATCACCCAGTTCTTGGCGCCAACATACCAATATAAGCTCTACCACCCCCACACCTGGTGCTGTCCACCATTTTCAGGACAGCCCTGGGCCCTGTGCCACTCTGAGCACAGCCCAGCAGATTTCTTTCTTTAATAAAGCTTGAATGGAACCCGGCATCTCGGCTCACTTTCTTTCAGTGGGTAAGTGAGTTAGTAGATTTCTTTGTATGTTTGTTTTCCTGCTTTTGTTTTTGTTTTTTGGACAGGCAAAACTTTCTTTGCTTTTCTAACCAAAAATGAGTTGGGTTTCCACTTAACAAAGGTGTATGCTTGTAAAGCTAAGAGCTAATTAAATTATAAATCAAAGATTATTTTTCATCAAGTAATGTTGGTTGACTCCTTACAAAAACTTGGAGTGAGTCCCCCAGGAAGCTCCTTTTTCAGGGAGAGAATCGCTCCTAATCAACCCATGTGACTAAAAGTTAGCTTTCTGCATGTTGAGTTACCTTGAATCAGGGCCTCCCTGGAGCAAAACCCCTTGTCTGAATCTGCACACTGTAGCGGGAAGGGGGCAGTGCCTGGAAAGGAGCCCTGCCCTGGGGTCCAGCAGAGGGAAGGCAAATCAGGCCACAGCCTGTGCCAGGAGTCAAGTCCTCATGCGGGAACAGCGTGTCAGGGCAAGGCTACTGGGTGAAGCAAGGTGGCCTCAACAACCCCAAACAGACTTGCATGCTAAACTACACAAACACTGACCTGCCCAGCACAAAGCAGGAGATTTTTATCTCCTGTGAAAACAGACAGGCAGCCAACCACCCTCCATGCTTTATGTTAGCAAGATTGCAGTCCCAGCAGGTGGCTAACTGACATGTGGTGGTGGTTCCACCCACCATAACAAACCAAGAGTCCCACGGCTCGCCAGAGGCGTGGGAGACCCAAGAGAGGCTGATCACCTGGAAAGGGAAGAGAGAGCACCTCAGACTCTTCCCTCCAGAGGAGTGCCACTGGCTTTACTCCTTGCAGTGGTTTTTATTGTTATTTTAGAAACAACAATAAAAATAAACATATAATTAATAATTAAAAATAAAGCCTGCAGTACCACAGCCATTGGTGAGGCACTATGAAGTGGAGCAATGTTAGCAACCAAGTGCTAGTTACCCTCAGACTCTTTCATTCCATGTGCATGGCACAAATATTTACTGATTGTCATGGATATGCAGATAAAAAGAGGTGATTTCCTACCCTTGAGGGGCACGCAGCCTAATGAGGAGATGGGCATGTAAACAGAGTTTCAGCACAGTGCCAATGGGTTGTAATAGACACACAGCCAAGGCTCAGTAAGAACACAGGGAGGGACCCCCTGACTCGATCCAGGGGCAGGGTATCAGGGAAGACTGCACAGGGGAGGTGGGAGGGAACATGGTCTTGGGGAGGGACAGGAGGTCCCAGGAATGGTAATGCTGGAGGGATTCCATGCAGCAGAACAGCTCACGTGGTGGTTCAGGGGAACCACAGGCCTGGAGTGGGAAGCCAGGACATGAAAGTCGCTGGGAGGGGGACAAGGTGCATCACGCACATGGCATGAGCCAGACAACAGGGCTGCTATGCAAGGACTTTGAGCAGGCAATGCCCATTCCATGCAAGCCAGAGTCCTCAGGCTCTGGGGGTTGGAGAGGTTGGGGGCAGCTACGGCAGAAGCAGAATGTCCAAAAGGGGGGTTATTCCAAGCAAGAGGGCAAAGGTTTGAGCCAGTGCCCTCATTCCATCCAGAGCAGCCCTGACCGACAGAAATAGAACATGAGACACATCTGTAATTGCCAATTCCCTAGACGTCACTTGAAAATATAGTAAAAAGCAGATGGAATTAATTTTTATAATAAAAGTGATTTACACACTATAGCCCAAATATTATCATTTCATAGTGTAATCAGTACCAAAAAAGTATGTATGAGTTATTTGTCATCCTTTTTCCCATTCTAAGTCCTCAAAGTTCAGTGTGTGTTTTACACATATAGCAGATCTCGGTGCGGATCAGCCAAGTTTTGAGTGTTCAATAGACACATGTGGCTGGTGGTGGCACGTGGACCAGCCTGGGTCTCGAGTCTATGTAAGTGTCAGAGATACATATTCCCCTTTCCAGCCATAATTGGACCGAACTCCCACTTGCTGATATTTCCTTTTTTAAAGGTAGAACAATATGAAACAGTTTCCACTGCTAAAAGGCATGTAGTTGTCCAACACTTCAACTGTAAGCCATAGGACTGGGTTGGTGGGAAAGTTGACTTAAAATAAACATGCACTCCATCATTCTCTTTGATTTCCAAAGCTTGAAGGGGAGAGGGTGGCATGAGATGATTTGCATTTTAATAAACACGGCCTCGTGCAAAACACTTCTCCACATTCTTGATGAGCACCTCCTGATAACAATAATTACCATGGGAGGTGCAGTGCCAGCAGTGCTCACTAATGACCGCACTCCCAGGCAGGTCCTGTTTTGATACTGAAAGCAAAGCTGTTAAGTAACTCTCATGGGGCCCTGCAGGGTGTTGGCTTCATGCAACTTGTTTCCCAGAAAGAAAGCACTTTAAGTTCCAATATCAGGCCACAAGGGGGCTTGGTTTGAGGAGCAGGACTACAGCACAGGAATGTGCAGCCAAATTTTCAGTGCTCAGGGCCTCAGGAGGGGCCCTAGTTGTCCTGGTTGTGCACAGCAGTTAGCAGGGACATTAGCAACCTCATGTGGTACATTGGATGCCCCCATTCCATGATGACAGCTCCACTCTGCCGCACCAGGACTTGGGAGTTTGGCTGGAGATGTGGCCATGGGCAGGGTCTATTGGATCCCCATGTTTCCTACAGCCTGTACCCCACACCCTCAAGCAGACTCATACTTGGCTTGCAGAATTCCCATCCCATCTACAAATTCCCATCTGGAAAGGTCTTTGGCTCCTTTCCAGTGCTCAGATTTGACAGCAGCATGGTGGCACCGGCAAACACAAGATAACCTCACATGTGCGGCCGTAGCCTCACAGTAACTGTGGGATAATCCTCGTGCAGGATGCTCACTAACCAGAGTCCTGTGGGCCATGCACCCAAACAAATGCTTTGCTGGCTGAGCTCAGTGGTCTTCTGTACAAGCCTGTGAACTGGGGTTGTCGTTATTTGCATCTCACAGACAGGAAACCAGGGAGGCTGTGCAGCTTGCTTTGGTGGCTCAGTAAAACCTGCTGAAGCCAGTTGACTCCAGGGGCAGAGCTTCAAGCTACTAGACTATATGGCCACCTTCATCTGGCTGTGGTTACGTTCTTGTCTTGTACAGGCCACAAGAAAGACTCACTGTGGTAGGCAGAATTCTAAAGTGACTCCCAAGATTCCTACCCCCACAGGCATGTCCTGTGTACTCCCCTCCCCTAAGCGAGCGCTGAACTGTGAATATGATGGACACCACCTTCATGATTAGATTACCAACCAGTTGATTTTTAGTTGACCCAAAGAGAGAGATTATCTATGTGGTCCTGACTTAATCAGGTACCAGCATTAAAAGAACTGGGCCCTTTCTGAAGGAAGAGATTCTATGTATGAGAGGACCTGTGGGTGGAACCAAGTGGCAGGACACTACAGGCACCTCAAGGAGCTGAGAGCAACCCCTGGCCAGCAGCCAGCAGGAGAATGAGAATCTCGATTGTACAACTTCTGGGAACTGAATTCTGCCAACAGTCATGAGTGCTAATAGGACCCTGAGCTCCAGAGAGGAATGTAAGCCAGCTGACGCCTTGACTGCAGCCTTTGGAGACCCTAAACAGAGGATCCAGACTAGATTCCTGATCCTTGCAAACTGTGAAATAAGACATGTATGTCGTTGTAAGCCACTAAGCCTGTGGTAATTTTTTATGCAGCAAAAGAAAGCCAATACATATACCTTTTCATCTGCAGGTTGGATTTATCTGATTATCAATATTTGCAAAAGTGTATTAGAAATGCCTTCCTCTAATTGGTTGCTCCATTTGCTCTGCAGGCTCTTCCTCACTGGCAATATTTTTTTTAATAATTACTAAACTTTATTTTTTAGGGCAGTTGGCTATTCTGGGTCTTTTGCCCCTCCACCTAAACTTTAGAATCAGTGTATTGGTATCCACAAAGTAACCTGTTGGAATTTTGATTGGGATTTCACTGAATCTACAGATCAATTTGGGAGGAACTGACTTCTCGACAATATTGAGTCTTACTGTCCATGAACATGGAATGTCTCTCCTGTTATTTAAGTTTTTCTTCAACTCCATTTGTCAGAGTTTTTTGTATTTTCTCTCATATGGATTTTGTACTTAATTTGTTACATTTATACCTAAGTATTTAATATTTGGGGGGTGCTAGTGTAAATGCCAATGTGTTTTTAAGTTCACATTCCACTTGTTCATTGCTGTTGTACAGAAAAGTGATAACTTTTTATATTAATTTTTATCCTGAAAACTTGCTGTATTTATTAGTTCAGGAGATTTTTTATCTATTCGTTCAAATTTTCTACATAGACGATCATGTCAGCTGTGAATAAAGACAGTTTTATTTTTTTCTTCCCAATCCGTATACTTTTTATTTCCTTTTTT